AATCTCCAACGAGTCTAAGAGCCTTGAGGAAGTAAATGTATAATTGTCCCCATATAATTGTCTTTCTACTTTTATGCACCGTGTCCTTTTAGGGCGTAGTCCATCTTGGATCCCCACATCTTCCTCTCCCTGGTAACTCTTTATAAGTTTTGTCTTTTTGTTATTTCTTCCAAACCCTGTTCTACTTTTGATTTACTCAAGTTCATTGAATATGTTTCGTGCTGATTTACTTTGTCTCTCTTTCCCACAATCTGCCCTGTGAGTTTCCGGTTTTCGAAGCATTCCTTCTTTGTAACTTGCCCCAGAAATTTCAACCGCCTCTTCCTGATGGTATGTTTCATTTTATTCCAAAACCTCGTCATTGTTCGCTTCATGGTATTCTCACCATTATGGTGTTCGCTTCATGGTATTCTCACCATTCTTCTGGAATAACCATATTTCTGTTGTTTCAAGTCTATTCTTCATATACGAGGAGATTGTCCAGCATTCGCTGCCATACAAGAGGACAGCTATCACGTAACAGTTTAGCACTTCTTTCGTTGTTTCTGACGAAATTTTTAATACCCTGCTTAACTTTTGGAATGTTTTTGAAAAAGAGATAAAAAGATTTTTTTTCCAACAAAATAATTTAAAAAAAAAAATGTTTTTAAAAAAAAATACATTTTTGAAAAAAAAGATTTTTTTTTAAAAAAGTATGTTTTTTTAAAAAAAAGAATGATTTTTCAAAAAAGAATAAAATAATGTTTTTTAAAAAAAGATAAAAGAATGTTTTTTATAAAAGAAAAATGTTTTTTTAAAAAAAAAAATGTTTTTTTTAAAAAATGTTTTTTTTAAAAAAAGAATGTTTTTTTCAAAGAATGTATGTTTTTTTTTTAAAAAAAGGATGTATTTTTTAAAAAAAGGATTTTTTTTTAAATTGATGTTTTCTTGATTGTTTTTTTTTTTTAAAAAAAAGGATGTTTTTTTTTAAAAAAAATAGTAAGTTTTTTTCGAAAAAAATAAACGTATGTCTTTTTTTCAAAAAGGAAAAAGGAAAAAAAACCTGCACGGAAATATTGCACACTAGCTTTGAATTATTTTAATCTTAGTTACATGCGATTAAATATTTCTCCTTTAACCTTCATTTTTTTTTTTTCGGACGGGCAGGCACAAATATTTTACCATGAAACTTAAGATCCTTTCCAAAGACAGAACATTTTATTTCATAATTATCATGTCTGCACCAGATATTTCAAGTATTTTCAGCAGCTATAATAACCGAAAAAAATATTATGTTATATTATTTATATCTGCGGACGAGTCAACTGAATGCAATATTTTGGTTAAGCTTTATTTGATCCCTTTTTTATTGACCTCCCCCTTTCTACGGTTTTTAGTTTTTTTAGATTTTGTATTATCTGGCCTTATTTCTAATATTAACCAATGACGAGCTAAATCGCCAATTGCAAATATGAGGCCAGTTTTCTTTTATACTGGCTTTTTCTGGATCTATCTATCTATCTATCTATCTATATATATATATATATATATATATATATATATATATATATATATATACTGAATAGATTTTTCCCCGTCTCACCCGCCCTCTACATCTGTGGGTGCGTCGGCTGGAAGTCGAGTGGCAGTGCTAAAGCTGCAAGATGTTTGCCAACTTTTCTGCACTTAACACTTATCGAACGTCGCAAAGTGGACACACTAACACGTGGGGTGAGTCGGTCAATATTCTGATTTCCGGTAAACGAGTTTGGTACAATTGTTTCCTGTGGGCACTGAACGCCTGAACTGTGGTCTTTTTTTTTTTTCACGGTGTTTCATAGAAAGGAAAGTAAATGTGGAATTGCATAAGCGATAAAGAAAGGATTGGATTTTTTTTCCTTTCAATAGCTCAATAAATCTTATTGGCATAATCGACTTAATTTTTTCATATTTTATTTTATTTATTTTACATATTTATTTTAACAAAACACACACAATTCCGGCCGAAGAGGAAAAGAATAAAAAATATATTGGTAGTAAAAGTAATGGGTATTTATTTGTTTTTCATACCATTTCAGCGTTTAGCCTGATTCGTTCTTCGGTTTCCTTGCATTGTCTAATTGTCATTATTTCATTTTTGCGTTATTTTTCAAACTAAGATTTTAATTATTTTGATTTCAGCAGAACGTTTCAATCGGAATATTCTTTAACGGGCTTTCAATGTTTAACATCCCGAAACGGAAAATATCTTTAGTCCATGAGATTTAAGATGACTGAATTCATGGGAATAAAATATAAAACAAAAAATGAGTATAACATAAGTAAAAAAGCCCCCCACCCCAATAGTGGGTCTAACTAGCCAATAATATATATATATATATATATATATATATATATATATATATATATGGTGAATATTGAGATCAATACTTACAGGCGATATATATATATATATATATATATATATATATATATATATATATATATATATATATCATAGAACCGAATTATGGGATTACGATCTGTGTTTCCTATACCGTGACCATTAACCCAAAAAAAAAAAAAATCTATGTAAACAGGATGACGTCTTTGTTGGGAGAACATGTCTGTTGTAATATCAAAATAACAATTCTGATGATGGCTTATTTGAGCCGGAAGCTTTAATCGAGGAACAGCATAATAAAATATATAGCCAAATGTTGAACAGATAGATAATAGACCTTCTTTGTCCGTTATCTTTTAACAATATATATGAATATACATATATATATATATATATATATATATATATATATATATATATATATATATATATATATATATATATATACTTAGCTGGCTTATGTCAGAAGAGTATCCCCAGACGAGGCTTGCTGAAGGGCACAGTCTCGTCTCGGGAAACTGACTCCGGTTTTACGTGTTCTATATGGAATTTTTGCCCTAGCCTACAGGCTCGGATACCCGACTTTAAACTCGGCCTTGTGCCACATCTTGCTACGTGTGGCAGGTAAATAATTATATATATATGACGACACACAATTATTTTAAGACATTTTTAAGTTTATACGTTCTTTTTATAGATACAAATATTTAAGTAAATGCTCTGTTTATAATAAACAGTATTAACATTTACCGGCCTTAATGTCCGAGAAATTGTCATAGAAAATATGCTTCCTGCGACAAGATTCGAACATTTATCTTATACGGAACTGTCATATAGCCTGACGTGCATTTACCGATTGAGCCACAGAGGAACCTTTTTCGGTTAACCAGATTTTACTGTTTTTAAACTACAATTCTCCATGATTTTCTGTCATACATTCATATCTGCTCAATGTGTATCCAAATGTAAACAGATGACGCCACACATTATGAATTTATTATCTATAAAAAATAACGTATAAACATAAAAATGTCTTTTATATATATATATATATATATATATATATATATATATATATATATATATATATGCCTTGTTTTTGCGTTTGTCCATCTGTTCTCGTGGGTTCATATAAATGTATTTGAGTGATTTTTCGTATAGTGAACATAAGTTTGTTATCAAATTGTTGCAAGCACGCAGCATTTGCTCTCCTGGCGAAAGTTGCGCCGATAATCAATCGTCGTTGACGGTCTTGTCTGCCGTCTCTGGTCACGATGGGCCGTCTTGTAAAAAACGGGCGAAAAATCAAGACTAAATGTAATTATAATGACTAAAACACTGCTTTTGTTTGTTAAACTTCATGACAAATCGGTTAACTGCCAACTCTCTGTCTTTCTCATCTGTCATACTGAATCTTCACTGTCTCCAGAGAATAAACTTATTTACGTTCATCATGATAAGTCATACCGGATATTATCACGATCGTTAAGCTATCCAATGAATGCCTAACGGGAAAGATTGCTAGTGTTTAACCCTTAAACATCGACTAGCATGAAGTGCATTGAAGATACGCATATATTATCAATTGCCAATTTAATTTTTCTTTTCCAAAATATCATTTATACTTAAGGATGATGAGATTAGAATTAATTATGATATCATTATCTAGAGTATTTTTCTGCAAATAAACCCGGAAGGAGCCATTAGCTAAAGACACTGTATACACCTCGAAGAAAAGAAGTGAAAAATGCGGATAACTCGCATGGAATTGTTTTTAAAATCATTTGATCCCAAGGAAGGAAATACAGCCACAAAGATCCAAGGGGGTTACTGAATGTGAGAGGATATGAAAATATTAAGGAGAAAAAGAAAATAAAAGAACAGGAATTAAGAATTAAGACATTGCATTTAAATCTTTGAAAATCCAAGTTCATTGGAAAGCAAGAAGCTGAGAAAGTACGTGAGAAGAAACTGTTACGTTTACATCTAGCCATTTCAAAATGATGAGACCTATCCGCCAATCTAATACTGCGCTTGTATTCATGGCGTCTAGCTACCATAGAGGAAAGCTCATCAGAAAAATTATCATGAAAATATTTTTTAGAAAAGACACACGGAAGCTACGCTACGGCGGTGAGAAGTAACTGAAGCTGATGTGCAAGACCAATAACATTGCAGCTTCTTGTCTTTATTTTATCACGAATTTCTAAATGTGTAGCATAAACACCATAGCAGATGAGACGGAATTATTGTATAGACGAATAATAGTCTTATTATATATGTGAAATAGACTCTGACGAGAATAATATCTAGCACAACACAGTAAATCAACTTTCCTAGCAGTAGACTTAGCAATTGATTCAATAAAACTATTCCACTTCATGTCACTGAAAGACGTTAGCCGGAGAAGGAGCAATGATGGTTGGATGTTTTTGTTTAACAGCAAAGTCTATGGTTTATTTAATGACGAAATCTAAATATTTTGTACGCAGTTTTTCTTTGAAAGGGGGGGATAATAATCGTTTTAATCATACAAGTATTACTAATTAACCCAAAGCTAGGGGAGAGTTAGATTCATGCTTTTTCTAGGGGTAAAAAGCGTAATGGAATATAATGAATGCAATTGGAATTGCAATTTTACAACACCTGGTATTCCCAACCTGTCACGCATCTAGGTACTGATCAGGCTTGACGTTGCTTAACTTCTGTGTTCGTATGAGAAACGGCGTTGTCATGTGGTCGTATATACATTCATATCTGCTCAATGTGTATCCAAATGTAAACAGATGACGCCACACATTATGAATTTATTATCTATAAAAATAACGTATAAACATAAAAATGTCAAGACTAAATGTAATTATAATGACTAAAAAATCTTTTTGTTTGTTAAACTTCATGACAAATCGGTTAACTGCCCAAGCCGCAGTCAGTCACTCTCATGGAGGTTAGCATCAGCAATACTGATGGCAAGAGAAAAAAAAAGTGTTCTCTTAGACTATCAAAAATGAGCAGTTTCAATTTGGAGGCGATTATATCAAAAGTAGTATAGCTGATAAGGGTTTGGTAATTATCATCACCATCATACATACAAATCATGCGACAAGCATTCATTGGTTAATCTCCTCAAAACTAGCTCGCTGATTGGTCAATTGCGACCAATCAGATATCCTGCAAGCGCAGAATGAAATTTCCCACTCACTAAGGTTTGAGCCAGTCACGTGATACACCATCTTATATAAACAAAACACGTGTAAGCTCTCTCTCCTTCTCTCTCTCTGTTTTCTCATTCATCTTTCTCCTTGCTGCCAAGATGTAATCTTCAAGAGCTCCCGTCTTGACCGTGCGGTCAGACGTTAAAGAACATTAGCAATTCACGCAAGTACGAACTCTTCTGAACTCTTACCAACTTTACCAATTCACATTTCCTAACATGCATCAGGAACTTTATTCTTCTAAAACTTCAGTTTAATAATAACTTCATCTTTATGAGCTCCGGTACAAATATTTCCAAATCTAAGAGACATAACTCATTCAAACCTTCAGCTTATATGCATATACATCAACACTAATAAATTCAATTGTTATGCTTTGAACCATTGCGTTCTGTCTTGTATTTTATACTATGTGCTATTTTACGTCAAATATAAATTGTATTGTGACCGCTACATGTTTGGCAACCTCCAGGATATTTGCTTGTCTTTTTCCACGTCATTCCCAGTCAAAGATAAATAATTGTGGTGATGCGCGCTACAAGGGAATAGGTTTCACCACGTCCATCTTCACAAGTAATTGAGCCAAGTCAGCTTTGTCAGATTGAGACTTTCCTATGGATATCATGTATGCTGTATAGAAATATAAACCCGTATAGAAATATCTAAAATGTCAGCTTCATATAGCCACTTTCTCTGATCCATGTTCAAAAATAGCTTTGAGCGACTGTAATCTGTGGCGAAGACCATCCTTCCTCAAATTTCGTGGAAAGAATCCCCACCAAAAAAAAAAAATGTACCACAGAGACGACATCACTTGGGAACTTTCAGCAATAGCTACAGTTAAAATAGATATATGTAATTTAAAGAGAAAATAAACACATAAACAAGATGTCGACCTCTCACACCACTACAAACAATGTTAATAAGAGAAAGATCTATAACAATTATTGGATAAACTTATTTTCCTGAAAAACATTTTTAAGAGATTTTAGAAATGTTTACCGACAGTAGTACTGTGTGTTTGGTCAATAAACTACGAATATTTCCATATAAGGAAATGGATTTAACAGGAGATTGACATCATGTCTCATTAGAATACACCAGGATCTTCCTCAGTATTCGAATTGGTTTTAGTAAAACGTTTGTTGAGTTAGTTATAAATATTTCTCGGGTTTACAGCTCTGTCTTTTCGAATATATCACGTCACTTCCGAAATAATAAAGAATAGAAAGCTGTGGAGACCCATGATTGGCTACGTAGCGATATGACATTTAAAAAATGATGGTGTTGAAAAGAAGAAAAAGAAAATTGGTGATATATATTCGGAAATATTAAAAGGGTTGATGATAATATTGGCTTTCATAGCAAGACAGGCTTTCATAGCAAGACAGGCTTTCATAGCGAGACTCTGACATTAACTCAATGAGCGAACCGTTTGCTATTATATCTTAATTCAATGTTATGTAGTTTGTCTTGTGATGTATGATGTTGGCTTGAGTTGATTATCTGCGAGGAAGGAACAAAAGGTCTGCGGATTGCGGCTAATTAAAAAGTGATAAAGAATATTTTAGCCGGACTGACGCCGACCCTCCTTTTCTCTCTTTGAGTAGTGGGTACTAAACAAAAGCCCCCCCCCCAAAAAAAATAGAAAAAAATGTGGTTTCTACTGCACCTCGCCATCACGGATATGTACCAATTCTTTTCTCACAAATCACAGCGATCGAGAGAACAAAAGTAGTTTTTTTGTTTCTTTTATTGTTTTTACTCTTAATTTAGAACACTTCTTTTATTTCTCCTTTTTAATCGACATTTTTTTTTTTTTTTTTTTTTTTTTTTTTTTTTTTTTTTTTTTTTTTTTTTGTTATGTCTTATTTTATTTTTTCTCCGGTTCTAATACTTTTTATTACGATTTCAAATTTCCTCTATCCTTTCTTGTTTTCTTTTCTTTCTATCTTTCTTATTCCGTTTTTTTTTTTTTTGTTTGCTTTTTTGCTTTTTTTTTACTTCTAACTACTCTGACATTGTTTCCAATATTTTTTTTATTCTTTTCTAAAGTCCTAGTTTCTTTCATTTCCTTTACTTTTTCTTTTCTTTTTTCTGTCCTTCCTTCTTTATTTCTTTTACGTTCTTTATTTCTTACTATGTATTTGCTGCTTTCATTTATTTTTTGCATGTTTGATTGTATGTATTTTTTTTATTTCTATTAACTTCCTCTAACCTGACAATATTTTTATTATTGCTTTCTTTTTTTTCTTTTCGTATTTGATTTCTCCTGTTTCTTTCTTTCATTATTTTTCTTTCTTTCTTTTTTTTCTTTCTTTGCTTTTTTCTTTTTATTTTCATGTTTTCTTTCCTTCTTTGTATTTTTCTTACAGCTTTGTATTCTTTTTTTTTAATTTTTCATTCTTTCTTTATTTTGAGGAGAATATTTTTCTCTCTATACTTTCTTTCTATTCTTTCTTTCTTTCTTTCTTTTATTTCTTTCTTTCTATTTTTGTTACAGCTTCTTTTATTTCTCTTGTTTCTTTCTTTCATTATTGTTCTTTCTTTGCTTCTTTCTTTTTTTCCTTCAGGTTTTCTTTCTTTCTTTCATTCATTGTTTCATTCGTTTTTCTTTCTTTCATTCTCGTCGTTCGTTTTTGTTTCTTTCATTCTTTGTTCTTTCATTTTTCTTTCGTTCTTTTTTGCTTGTTTTCTTTGTTTTTCTTTCATTCTGTTTTCATTCCTTTGTGTGTCCTCATTTTTTCTTTCTTTCCTTCTTTCTTTCTTTCTTTTATTCTGCTTTTTTCTTTCCTTCTTTTTCTTTCTCCCATTCTCCTTTGTTTTTTTCTTTCTTTCATTCATTCTTTTTTCTTTTCTTCTTTATTTCATTGCCTCTTTTCGTTTTCTCTTCTCAATTCTTCATCATTCTTTCTTCTTATTTTCATCTATTTTTTCACCTTATTCTTTAATGTCAGCATTGTTTTTTATTCATTAATTATTTTTCATTCTTTTTTCTATATTTTGTTTTCTCTCTTCCTTCTAAAGCCTTTCTTACTTCTCTTCATTACCTTTCTTTTAATCGTCTCTCTTTCCTTTCAAACATTTTTACCTTCTTTCTTTCTTTCTTTTTTCTAGTGCCGCCACCGTCTTTATTGCCAATACTGCTTTTATTACATAATAATATAATATTACCAACAACAAGTAAATATTAACTTTTATCCGACCCCATGTGCCACCATTCGGGATGGTATGTGCAAGAGAAATGTATTAGTTCAAAATAACTAATGCGTAGTAAAGTGTTTAAGTCACTGCATTTGTTTTTACTTTTTTTTTATTTCTTCACATACACTACAGGCCAAAGGTTTGAAGCATATTTTGGGATGATGCTCCCATGTGATAGTTTCACCATCCTAATTTAGTAGATGAATTAGTAATTATTAAAATCAATATAATTTCTGAAAAAAATTAGCCCATTGTTACATGACGTATATTTTACCGAGGTGGCTACTTCAAATTTGTCAGGCTTAAGATATATATATATATATATATATATATATATATATATATATATATATATATATATATAGTAGATTGGTATTACGAGACAGGAGAATGCCGTTGGTAACAAAGAGGACTGAACTGCTACGTGACATCTCTCCTTCTTTCTGGCAGCGAATGTTGGACGATTTCCTCAAAGATGTAGAAGAAACTCGAGGCGACAGAGATGTGGTTCTACAGAAGGATGCTAAGGATATCATAGACCGAGCGTGTGAGCATCGATGAGGTTTTGAAGAAGATGCAAACAAGGAGGAAGCTTGTAATTAACATCAGGTAGAGGCTACTGAAATTTCTGGGACACGTCATAAGAAAGAAGAGCTTGGAGAATCTGATACTCACAGGGCGATTAGAGGGAAAGGGCGACAAGAGAAAGCAACGTGTGGCATACATAACGGGCTCAAGGAAGTGAATGACAGAACAGGGTCTGGGAAAAGTAGCAAAAAGACAAAACTTATTGCGATCTACAAGGAACAGGGGGAAGTGGAGAGCCATGATCGCCTATGTCCTGAAGGGACACGGTGCATAAAAGAAGAAGACTTCACAATGCGAAGTTTCCTGAGGACTCCTTCCCTGGTTATCATAGAGCCTTCCAAGTGTACCTAATTAATGTCAGTACGTGTTTTTTCCCGGCCTGTTCGCAGCTTCTGATTTGGTTATGTCGAGATTCCCAACCTCCTCAGTTTGTTTTGGACTGCTCTTTTCATCTCGACTGTGTCTGTTTTTTTATTTTTTTCTAATGCCCATCATTTTTATCCTTTCCCTCTCGCTTAGCGAGAGAGCCTCTTGATTTTTGTGGAGTCGATGGGTCCTAATAGCATCATTCCTTCTTTTTCGGGATCACCATCCCCCTACATCATTTCATTGACAATATTTTTATACATACATACATACATATGTATGGTGAATGAGTAAATTGTAACGAATGAATGTGTCGTGAATCTGATACGATGATCTCAACCAGAATGACTCATCACCCCACTT